TAGATAGTTGATAGCTTTGAATTTTATTATTATTAGTCTTAGTTTTATTATTATTAAACTTATTAGTATTAGTAAAAAAAATTTAACACATTACATTTTACTTTTATACTTAACATTATAATATTTTCTCTTTCTTTATTATTTCATTATTATTATACTTTTATTGCTACTGTACTGATAGAAATACTGTATTTCTAAAGATGCAATAAATATTATTATTATTATTATAGATTATAAAAAATCTAATTTTTTGTTCACTGCTGAATTTTGCGTTATGCATGAAATTGAACAAAACAACAGGACCAACAAAGATCATAACATCATAGTGGCATCAAATCATTATGCAGGATTCAACAAACTAAAGGATGTTTGAGGTATTTCCACACTATGCTATACGCATTTTATGATGGTCATTTTTTATGAAGTAAGTGTATATCAAAACTATACTTCCTCTGAAAGCTAGGCATTTCAATATTGAACTATAAAAAAAGAGATTAAAGTACAAAATGTGTGCCTTTCACACATTATGAGAGATCTTGCTGTGAGCTGAAAATCACCTATTCTCAAAGACTTATTTTACTTTATGCATAGTGTTGTAGCTAAAGCTGTTATCAAGTGAGTTGACCTGTGCATATGACATTGATTGAGTATGTGTAGTACATGTTAGGAGTAGCCTGGGCAATATTTGTCATTATATGAAGTGCCTATGTACTGTTAAAAACTCTGCAACAGTACATCTGTACTAACAATAATATTACCATTTTCACCATATCAAATCATGTACACCCTACACTTACAGCGAACACAGTTACTTGATGGCTAAAATTTAAATAATTCGAACAGTACTATTTATTAATAATAAAAAATCGTGGGAAAAATAATAATGAATTGCACTGATTTTTATTCGGATTATCAGCTCACAACACAAGTGACTATGAGTTGAGTTACTTACCTAAAGATCTAACAATTCCCATCGTTAACCTATCAAACATTTCTTTGGTGTGTGGTATTTCCGCCATTTTCTTTGCGGACTGTAAATGTGCCTTCCCCAGCATCCGAACTGCAATGCAATCTATCTACTCCTACTTTTTATGTTTATGTTGTCATGTGAGAATTTTCACCTGCTTTCTTGTTCGCTTGAACAGCGCCGCTATGCGGTCTGTTTGTTTGGTAACTGTTATTTTCTACTACTGATAACTCTCTAAGCCGTTACTGAAAGTCAATGTAAGAGTACTTGAAAAACACTTTATACTCGATAATAATATTCTAGTATTCGAGAAGTTTTATATTTGTATCAAATACTTGAATAATGTAAAGTACAATAAATGACGATCTCCGATCTGAATACCAACTTTATTTACAATATTGACCTAGATTATAATTTTGTCTCACTTAGGTAGTCAAATCAAAATTTCCAAGATGGCCGACCCACAATTGGAGAAACCGAAACAGCCCAGAAAAAACATGGATTTGTAAGTGTGTCTTATTCCTGTTCGCCTTGTTCGTAATTTACTGAGTGTTTGTTCCGATAAGTTCATCGAATAACATATATATGCCCTACTTAATTAATATAGACTTGAATTTGAGAAATAACTATGAACACTGACGCGTGGGTCATTCCATTTCCAGCACTGACGCCGGGACAGTTCGATTGTTTATTTACGATCACAACTATACTGAACAATGTTACAACTGTGTCTGTTTAGTGATTTAGTGTACATAAAATACAATTTATTTGGGAAAGACATTCCAATGTACCCCACACCATACCCTAATTCTCACCTCCCAATCTCTCAATTTAGTTGTATCATGATGTACGTCCATGAATGGTCATTAGAGGTCCATGGTTGTATATATATATCCCTCTCAAGATAACTATAGGTAATTTGAGGGGGTACGAGAGGGTGTGGGGCAGGTTTTAGTTAGGATTAGAGGTTGGGGTACATTAGAAAGTCTTTCTGAGAATTTATTACATAACCTGGGCAGAAAAAAACATTGTTTTTCCTTGCCATAATTATGCATTTTTCCTATGCAACTTCATGCAGAAATCCTAATAAATAAAGTTTATAGTTCGCAACTGAATAATTTAGCAATTGTTTTGTTGATTGTTGTCAGTTGTTTGTTTTGTGTTCTTGGTAAATTGGAACTATTTTTTTTTCTTTTATTTTTTTTTTCAACAAGACAAGGTACATAACAAATTAAATTATTTATAAAAAAAGATCACAAATTGGAACTATGCATGGATGTATATGTTAGCGATCAGAGTGAACACTGTTGCGGGTTAAAAAAAATACGCCTTTCCAGTATTTAGCGCCCTCTCGCTGTGGTTCCATTGCTTACTGTTGCAACAGGTGACTGATATTTAACTCCCTTTTAATTACCTTATGTAATGTCTGTTTCTAGTCTGTCAATAGGAATTACCTTAATGTAACTTATTTTGAATTAATTAATTAATTCAGTTGTTATTAAATTAATTTTTACTTTCAGAAGTGAAGACGATCTTGGCTGGGGACAGGGCGAATTCAGCAACCCTGGTAAGTAAGATTCAGTTTTTCAACAATTTGTTGTAAAGTTATAATGAGTTCTTGGACTTGGTTTTAGTAGTCGATGTTTTGCAGGAAATAAAATAATCAAAAATGTATACAAGAAATTTGATTTGATTCAACTTAGCAATTTCCTTTATAATTCAAACAAGAGATAAGGAACTACCTTGATAAATATATGACTAGAATGACAGACAGTAGTGTTTACATTTATAAACAGGTGCATGGATGATACCTGTGACATTTACACTTTTGTTACTTTTTGTTTTTCTCCTGTGTCACGTTTTCCAGGCTCATCACCCGACACCATCCAGTATGATTGGCAAGATATTACAGAGGACTTTATCAAATCTACCGAGGAACTTAAGCTGGGTGAACTCTTACATGATTCTGAGTAAGTCAATTGGGTTTTGATTCTGCATGAACCATGAAAAGTACCTTAACTTCAAATTAACACATGCATCGTATTTATCTATTATGTTACACCACCTGGGTGATATTCTGCTGCATCAAAAACAAATAAATAATAAAAAAAACTAATGGGGTAGTAAAAATAATTGTGTACAAGACCATGGATTAATAAATAAGATACTAATCTGCATTGCCAGGCTTAGTGAGAGTTTCTCCTATTGATGGTGGACATTGCATACTATTGAATCTTCTTGCGTTCTTCCATGTACCATAATTTGTTTTTTAAAAGCATATCTCAGTCTACTAGAGATGCACATGAACCAATAAATTGTGTTTTGCTTGGAGCTAAGACTTTGAAGACGACAAACTCATTGATATATTGTACTATTTTACTTCTGTTATTTGCTCTAGTGTTTCTTAAAAGTGTAGCTTGTACTTTTTACCTTGCCCGTACCATCAAAGATGGAAGGGAAAGGTATATTAAGGGAAAAAAATTTGTCCGGCGTTGTCGTCGTTGTTGTTGTTGTCGTCGTCGTTAATAATTGTTATTGTGTGCATAATAACTTTACTAATTCTATTCCAAACTTTATCAAACTCTGTCACCTTATTCATCAGTATAAAGTCTTCCCTGAGTTTGAACAACAGATGTCCTGTATGAAAATATCATGCAAAAATTGAGAAAATCTGATAAAATATTTTGACTGTTTCTACTTGACTGATCACTGGTGATACACATCAAAGGTCACTGATCTCAGTGGAAATATGCATTGTTGTATGTGTTCAATGAAGCAAATGATTTATCTTGTAATAATATCCTTGGTAATGTATACCAGAATCCCATACTGGGTTTCAAAACCAACTCCTGGAGAGATTGCACAGTCTGATACACATTTGCAAACCTACCAATAAAATCTTTACAGAAAACAAGATGTCAGAAAATCAATATAAGCACTGCTATGAACTGGGTGCCAAACTTTGATCAAGATCTGAAGCTAATAGAAAATCTGTTTAGTCAAAAGTTATCAAATCAAAAACAATACATAAAAAATACATTAAAAGCAAAACATTTCATCCACATTTTAAAAAGAAAATTATTCTAAAATATATGTATTCTGTATTTGACAAACAGTTCATTCGACAAATGAAAACTCACAGGAATATGTTTCAGCTATTAGAACAGAATGATAGGTTTTTATAATACTAGTTTAAAAACGCA